GTATCTGTAGTTATCAGGCACTTGAGGTGAAGATGGATCCAACCTTTACTTTTTTCTAGATAGTCACATTACACCACTTTAGGAAATATCCCTGGATCCAGCCCAGAATTTTATATGGTACCTTTGTTAAATAATGTATTAAGTTTATTAGTTTGTTGTTTCAAACATTGCGATCAATATGTCAGCATCTAGTGTCTTCATTACTGGCCCTTTTGAATTGGTTGAAATATGTACTAATAAAGTACTCCTACCTGTTGAGCCTGAAATCAGGCTGCCTGGGGAGGCTGAGCTGTGGTAACCAGTGACCCTCACTTCCAAGTCTCTTCTGCAGCAAGGCCTATTTCATCTCTCTGTGACCTCTAGTTGATAGAATAGCCTTTACTGGAATAGTCCTGGTCCTTGGGACAAGAGGAAAGAGTGCAGGGAACAGTTTCAGCTCGTCAAGATGCTCAGAGTGTTGGAATCTCTTCCATTGACAATTTCTTCAAAGTCTCCTGAGCAGGGCCTGCCTGGTGGCGCAAGGGGTTAAGCACCACACTACGAAGCAATCCGCAGCCTCTGCAGCGGACTTGAGGTCCTCTGCAGCGGCCTCTGCTCCCGGCCAGTGAGGGAGCAACCCACATGGCTAGGCAGACCTCTCATTTCTCGCCCGCTGCTCCCCTCAACAGTGTATTTCAGTATGTGAAGATACATAAATTTTTTAAAAAAAAAAACAGTCACCTGAGCAGCAACACTGAGATGGGCATACACTGTCCATGAGGCATACATCCGTGTGTGTCTCCAGTTCGGCTCCTGTCTTGAGAGCTGACCCTAATAACGCCCCATGGGGCTAATTCCTTTTCTCTGAAAAGCCCAGATTTGTGCATGTGGCCAGGACCCTGTGGCATGTCCAGGTGTTGCTGCTGTTAGTGCAGAGATCTGTGTCTGCAGATGCAAGTGACCTGCCATCTCCACAGCTTATGGGTGTCAAGTGTGGGCAGGATAAACACATTAACATTCCCACAGGGTGCAGCAAACCTCTCCTGTCTTCCCCACTGCTCCCCTCAGCAGTCAGTGTATTTCAGTAGATCTGCCTGCTCTGCTCCTGCTCTGTCTCTGGTGAATCCTCTCAACCCCTGCACAGCTCTGGCCTGTACCCCAGTTCTTGTATGCATAAATCTTAAGAAAAAAAAAAAAAAAGAACAGTGGCTTGGAGCAACACACTTTAGATGGAACCAAGTATGATTACACTGTGAAACTGTCAAGAAAACAATTGTTTAAGTTTTTAGACTCCTGAGAACTGGTGATTGTGGACTTTTAGTCCGAGGACAGAATGAGTTCCATTTTCCTCCTTTCTAGAGAGTGACTTAACAATTATTTATAGCAAGGAATAGTTTGAGCTTCTTAACTCTAATCATCTCTTACCTCCCACATTTCCTTTTAGAAAATCCTTTCATATTGTCCATTGGGCACAACTTGGGTTTGCAGTGAATCTGTACACCCTGAATCAGTACACTTTGAACTGAACATGTGAGTTTGATTAGTCTCCTGATATTGAGGGTAGCATCACAGGTGTCAGCAGACAGCCCATTCAAGGGGAAGGTGGGTTAGAGGCACTTAGTGACTCGTGGTCCTAGAAACTTTGAATCGGGCTGGGCTATGATCACTTCCTTGGTTAAGCTGCAGGAATCCTGGGAATTACTTCCTTAATGCATGGCTGTGTGCTCTGTCCTTTTTGCCACGGACCAGCACAGCAGTAGACGATGAGGCCACCTCAGGGTTGAGAGAAGCGTGCAGGGTGGTCAGGGCATCGGTGAAAGAAATGACAAACAGACACACTTCAAGAGTGAAAATCTGAGTGTAATTTTCTTTGAGTTTGTGACCAATATATATATGTTTTCCAAAAGCACATGGACAATGAATATCAATGAAATCAGCTTGCTCATGGGCTCAGTCTATCACCATCAGGGAATTGATCTACATAACAAGCAATGACTTTTATAGAAGAAGGAAGTTTAGAAAGACAAATAAGGAATTAAAGTTTGTAGTTCTAGAAAGACAGGATAAGATTTTTAGCATTCTTGTAGTGGTTCCTGGTGGTCTTATCTTTTGATAAGCTTCTGCCTTTTCAGGGAACTTCCACTGTACTTCCTCTGCTTCAGGGTGTTTTGCTGTTCTCCCCCTGCGCGCTGGTTGCCCAGCCAGACCTAGGGACTGTTAGCCCTAAAGGTCACTGCAGGGGGAGGTGCAGCACTTTTTTTCCTTGAAGCTGTGGTTTGATTTAGTAAGGGACTATGTTTGACCTTGGAATAATGTAGGTTTCAGCTGCCAGTTCCATTTGCATATTGATGATTTTCAATAAATGGGTTTAAAATATTTAGACTCTAATGACTTTTTAAGACCCACTGAGTTTGTATCCTATGATGTCAAAAATGTTTTCAGGGACGTTAGATATGTCATTGCATAAAATAGACATAGCCAGTAGTCTATTATCATAAAATGGGCATAAAGCTATCATAAAATGTTAAAAAGTATTAAGGGCCTCCCCTGGTGGCACAGCGGTTGAGCACTGGGCTGCGAAGCTGCCCACAGCCTCTGCAGCATCGGTTCGATCCCCGGCCGCCGCCGAGGGTCCCACATGGCGTCACAGACCTCTCCTGTCTTGCCTGCTGCTTCCCTCAGCAGTGTATTTCGTCAGTCTGCCTGTTCTGTTCCCCGCTCTGGCTCTGGTGAATTCTCTCACCCTCCCCCACTTCTGACTGTACCCAGTGCTTGTATAAATAAATAAATAAATAAATCTTTTAAAAAAATTATTAAACCTTAAGAACACAATACACAATTCAGTTGAGAGCCATGTGAACAAACAGGCTGCTTAAATCATAGCTGCATGAAATTACCTGGTTCGTTCTTTTCTCCAAGTTCATGCTGTCATTATGTAGCTGTTCCTGTTGCTCCTGGTGTCCTCTTAGCTGCTGGCTAGTCATGTCCACAGTAGCAGTGGGTCTGCCTGGTGCATTCCATGCTGCATTGATAGTGATCTCTCTGGGTTTCTCTGACTTTGTCGCCATATTGTGTCCAGTGCTGTAATCCTCTGTGGTGCCATTGGACTAGGCAGAGTGCCACCAGCAATGCTGGAATTGCTTTCAACAGCCCAATGTCATGTCATTAAAAAGTTGATCTGTTGGTATCTACTATAGATTGAGGTGTGCAGGGGCCTTGCCCACCTTCTGGGAAGAGGGTTTCTAGCTTAAGGACCAATGGAAAGAAAAATACTGTAAAGCCAGAGCTGTAACTCTGGCAGGGGGTGCAAAACCCTTGCACTTACTGTTGAATGCAGTGTTTTGTCCATGAGAAAATATTGCTGTGGTTCTGAGATGGTTCAGCTTGTGAATAGACCATGTACCTTTGTAGGGTTGATGACTATGAGGCAGTATTGTCATCCTGTTTTCCTTACCACTCCACTGACATTTTATTTTCCCTAACTTCTGTTAGATACAGTCTGCAATGCAGGTGTCATACAAGATATGTTAATCAGCTGCTTTCTGAGTTAAGTGTGTGGAGCCAGAAGTGGATATTTGAACGGCCTGGGCCAGGGGTCAGTGCCACCAGCGCCCACACTGCTCCAGGGTCAGCTGCAGTGTCTTCCACCTGCCTTTCTGGCGTGGAAGGTCTTCTCACTGGAGCGCATTCTAAAGCTTTTCTATGAGGTGGATGTATATCCTTTTAGGAACTTCTTGGGATTTCGATTCATTATAATCCACTACATTGAATTGAAGCCATACCCATATTTTGGGACAGATCCACTTCACTGAAACTCTGGAGCCATTCAGGGACAAGACTCGTCACATTCAAGAGGCCTGTTGACCACCTTGTGAGGATCTGCAGGCCACTCTAGAGCGGCAAGAGGGTCTGTGACAATATCATCTTGCCTCAGAGATTGGTTCTGAGGCTCCATTTTACTGGCTATGTGCTGAATGTGGTCTGTGTGTGCTCAGTTCGTAGTTTCAGATTCTTTGGCTGACCAGAGTAGCTGGAAGGAAGCCTGACTAATCCTGCCTGTAGTGGGTTTTACTCAGGCCGGTCCTCACAGCGGAGCGATAGTTCTTTGCAGTTATTCTTCCTCTACATTCACCTTATGACCCAGCGGCTATGAATTTTGTGTCTCTGAGGAAGAAACCCAGCCTTGGTTGCTGCGCTTGGTGTTCTGGGGCTGCATTTCAGCTTCCCTGGCTCAGACAGTCTTTGCCTCTCCAGTAAAAGTCCCAGAGGGGGATGTCAAGGCTCAGGAGAAAACGGCATTTTCTTTAGCTGTTTGCCATGGGTTTGATATGTCTGGCGAGGCAGGGTCAGAGGGAAGCTCTGGCATTCTCCGGTGCGCCCTCCTGCCTTAGTGGGGGCTGGCCCTTCTGGGGTGTGTCTTTGCCACCATGGTGAAGGTGAATCAGGGTTTTTGGGAGCAGGTAGGGAACCTGACGACCCCAAGTGTGCTCTCTCATTTCCTGTCTTGGGTGAGAAAAGGATTGAATGTCAAGATCAGAATTACACAAAAGCAAGAGGCTAATTGATAGAAACAGGACAGGAAAACTCTCTTAGTAGAGAGTAGTCATGAGTGGGGACCCCTGAGGGGCTGAGAAGCAGGTGCTCATAGAGGGTGTCATGGGCACGGAGTGTGGGGTTGGGTGTTGGGTGTCTCCATGGTGTGTCTCTTTCTGTTGGGGTTCTTCTAGGCTGCGACACCTGTTGATTTTGCCCACATCCCCTGGTCTGCCCTTGGAACACCAGCTTTGGTCTCTCGCTTTAACGTTGTGTTCCCATGTTAGTGTCCTGACTGTTGCACTCTGCTGGGGTGGGGTGGGGTGGGGTGGAGGTGCTGTTGGTTTGCAACAAGGGTCACTCTCCGTGCTCTACAGGTGAGGGGTTCAGGGGGTGCTTCTGTTGTGTCCCCTTGCAGGTGTGTTGGGCGTCCAGGGGTATGGAGGGTGAGGCCTCACTCTGTGGATGGGCATGCAACCCAGGTGAGTGTCGTTGATGCTGTCAGCAGAGGCTTGGGAGAGGCCTCCACCCAAGCTCCTGGGGGACCTTGCCCGGCTGAGCCGGGGCCCAGGGTCAGGAAGCGCAGGAGTTCAGGGGGTCATAGGTGATCAGCGCAGCCCAGAGACACTGTCCGCACTGCAGTGGTGAGGACGCCACTGAAGCCCTGAGCTCTAGGGACAGAGAGTGGACGCGCCCTCTGTGGGCTGTGGCCAGGGGATGTCACAGGGCAGTGTGGATGGCAGTTGTGCCATCACGGAGAGATCCATCTGCCCCTCCTGCCCCTCTGAGTAGCAAAATATGACAGATGAGCAAAGCCACCACAACTGTACAGGGTCAGAGTGTGAAGTGCTGTCACGGGAGGAAGAAGTGGCCACACGCGGGGTCTCTGGCCCCTGGGAAGGCTGAGCTGAGCCTCTGCCTCCTGAGAGCTGCTCCCCTTCTAGATTGAGCCCCCACTGATGTCAACTGTGTTTTGCCAGTTCTACCAGTCACACTTGAGCTTGGGCCTCCTGCCCATTCTAGTAGCACAGGCTCAGCTGCCACTTGAATGCACCTGTCGCTGTCCAGGTGGCATCTGCAGCTCCTGCAACATGAAAACCTCATCTTGTTCTGCCCTCGCATGTGGAATTAGATTCTTCTCAGCTCAGGTCTCAAACCACCAGAATGGGATTTCCCAATTCCAGAGTTTAATCTCATCTAGTGCAAGTTATTTGCAGCATTATCTAATATCTTCATGGATGCTAAGAACAGCACCACTGTGTGTGTGAGTGTGTGTGTGTGTGTGTGTGTGTAAATATATTCACTTTCTTATATTTACATTAATATATTTACATTACAGTTACCATTCTTGGCCAAACCTGAAGGATGTGTTTGCAGGTGATGAGGTTGCTCCCTTTTCCGCCTCCTGCTGGCCTGTGTGTGGTGACACCTCAGAGTCCAGTGGGAGAAAGTACTCAGGGGTCAGTGGGGACACGTTTAAACAAGGGTCATGACAGACAGACACTCGCTGACTAAAACCAGGTAGCACAGATATGCATCATTTGACCTTTGGTTGTTGGGAGTTTATGTCGGTGCTGCTAAATGTAGTTTTTAATAAAGAGCTTCACATTTATGTCATTGAGTCTGGAGTACAATAGGTGTGTGCAGTAGTCTTAACTATGATTCTTGGCTGGAATTCTGGTTAATGGTAGATTTCTTTTTTTAATTTGATAGAATGATAGAATTTTGATAGAATGTGTATGACTTATAATCTAATTTTAGTCACTCTCCTATCACTGTGCAGCTGTTTCATTTTATAAACCTTTGCACTCTGGAAAGCAGCCGTGGCAGGTCTCCTGCCCACAGTGACTCTTCAGGTGCTTCTTTTTCTCCCTTTCCTAGTAAACCTGCTCCTTTAAATTGTAAAATAAAGTCTCATTTTAGCTGTTTTTGCATGTAGTGTTCTTTGGCATGTAGTATCTTTACGGTGTTGTACAGCTGTCCCCACCTTGGTGTGCAGATGTCTCTTCCTGTCCATGCTATCCCTGCTGTTGGTGAACAGCCCAGGGGGGTTGGGTCCTACTGTCGTTCCGTATTCCCTTTCCCCAAGAATCACCTTCGTTCCTGTTGTCCTTCCCGGCTGCATCATTTATGTTTGCTCCAACAGTGCACAAGGCTTCCGGGTCTCAATTTTTGCCCATACTTGTTCTTTTCTTTTTTTTTAAAATAATTTCCATCCTAGGGGATGTAAAATCCCATCTCTCATACTTTTGATTTCTTTTTCCTAGTGACTGGTAGTATTGAGTGTTTTCATGTTGAGTATCTGATTTGCAGAATTATGTATTCCATTCCTTTGCTCATTTCTGATGGACTATTTTATGGGTGTTTGTTTTTTGTGAAAGATTCTGTCTGCCTACCCCCAGGCAGGCAGGAAAGCTGTTGACAGTGTGGTTTCCTCTTCCATTCAGCACCGAACTCTGTGCAGATGGCCCTAATCTGGTGGTGGTCTGTCTGGTAACCTCAGCATATTAATATCCTACTTTGTTGCGTTCCTGTTTTACAGGTTCCTCCAGCAGTCTCCAATATGAGGCTTTCTCACCATGCTGGAGTTGCAGTGCACTAGTTCACAGAGTGTCTGTGGGCCTTAAACGCCATCATTTGCACTGTTTTCTTACATATGTATATTTGCACATTGGTTCTGTGCACATTATTGTCTCCTTTTTGTTAATGTTTTTTTCTTTAATCAACATTTCTTTTTAAAGAATTAGGAGAGGAAACACGTCTGTGGAGTCTTCTGTACAATTACCCACATAGGTACCATTTCCAGTGAGCCTGATTTTTTTCTTTGGATCCAAGTAGCCATCTCGTGTGCTTCTTTCAGCCTGCAGGGCGTCCCCTCCCGCTGCGGTCTGCTGCTTCTGCATTACCTTAGCTTTTGTGTCTCTGCAATGTCTTTACTTCTCCTTTGTTTTCTGTTCATCTAGTTTTACCCAGTTTGAGATGGTGGGTTGAAGGATGTTTCAGCACTTTCAAGGTATCTTCCCCTTCTGAGGAGAAGTCATCCATCATTCATATGTGGTTGTATCATCTGCTGTCATTTTTCTGACTGCTCCGAAGATCTTGTCTTATCCTTGGACAGTGGCTGTTTGTGAAGGGCCTGGACTGGTTTTCTTTACTGTGACCTGATTACAGATCATTAAGTTTATTCGATTTGTGTTTTTTCCTTTTCTCCGGCTCAGACTCTGTCCTTGGTTCTGTTAAATGCGTTGCTTGCTGTTTGGTGCTCTTATCAGTCATGTACGCAAGTTCCTGTACACGTCAATACTTGGATGTGTTATTTCTGTAGTGTGCTTATTGGATTTTCCTTTCTAGAGTAGCGTCAATGTGATTTTCATTAGTTTTCTGTGGATGAATTATAACTAGTTACGACCATTTTTTACTTAACATTTTCTTTTTTCTGTTGTGTAGAGTTACCCTAATCCACTGAGAATAAGGGAAAACTGAGCATCTTTGTTACTCCTTGTCTCACTGTGAATGTTGATGTCATCTGTGGCCATCAAGGACGTTGAATTGTATTAAGGAGAAATCCTCTGAATCCTTATTTTAGTCATTGCAAATGGAAGGTGTTTGTATGGGGTCTTACTATATATGTGGATGTTCATAGGATTTTCTGCACAGGAATGTGATGTGATATGATGGAATACATTAACAGTTTTCTTAAGATTTTTGTTTCCTTATACTTAGTGTCATCTTTTCCGAAAGCCTTTCATTGCTATGATCTGTTTTTTCTTCCTCCAATAGAAATATTGGTCTCTACCAGTTTTTTTCCTCTTCTTTTAATGCCTATTGTTCTGGTCGACCATATTATTCCCTATGATGTTGAAAACTACCCATAATATACTGGAGATTTGCAAATTTATGTTTTTTTTTTTTTTTTTTGGTAAAGATTTATTTTATTTATTTTTGCACATAGAGCTAGGGTGCAAACCAGAAGCGCAGGGGGTGAGAGGATTCCCCAGAGACACAGTGGGGAGAAGAACAGGCAGATTGACTGAAATCCATTGCTGAGGGGAGCAGCGGGGATAGAGGAGAGGTCTGCTGTGCCCTGTGTGTCAGCTCCCTGGCTGGGGATGGAACTCATCCTGCCTTGGCTGCCGATAGCTTCATAGTGCTGAGACTTAACCCCTTGAGCCACCAGGAAGGCCCTGATTCCCAAATTTCTATCTTCAGCTTAGAGCTCTTGATGTATAAAACACGTGTCCAGTTGAGTATGGAACACCAGTATCTACCAGCTGGTCATGCAGACAGCATACTAGGAAAATATTCCTGTACCTTTAGCCACCAAGTTATTAGCAAGTTCTCCTCCCCTTTCCTCCTCTGTTTCAGAAGTGATGCCCTGTCTTGTATTCTTATGGCTCTGTCTGTTGAACATCTCTTACCTCTGTTTATATCCCTCTCATTGTTTGCACATCTGGTTTAGGGTCTAGGTTTTGTTTACTCTGAGTTGGAGATTCCAGGCTTTGAAATCACAGGAATAAAATATCAACCCCAATTTTTACATGCTTTTCTTGTTATGAAGAGTATGATCACATAATATTCTATAGTGGTGAATTTTTTTTTAAAAGATTTATTTATTTATTTATACAAGCTCTGGGTATAATCAGAAGTGCAGGAGGGTGAAAGGATTCACCAGAGCCAGAGCAGGGAACAGAACAGGCAGACTGACAAAACACACTGCTGAGGGGAGCAATGGGCAGCAGGAGAGGTCTGTGTGCCATGTGGAACCCTCGCTGGTGGCCAGGGATCAAACTGGCGCTTCAGAGGCTGTGGGCAGCTTCGCAGCCCAGTGCTCAACCGCTGCGCCACCAGGGGAGACCCCTCTATAGTGGTGAATTAAGCTCACATATCCCACAGTTCATGAAGCTGACTGGCTTCAGTTCCAGAATACTTTTACTGTCATTCTCACCTCACTGCCAGGGATGCTGCCTGATCTCCAGTTCAGTTACCATGGTGAGTGCTTTTTATTTTCTCACATGATGACACCTGCTGCGTCTCACACACTGATGACAGTGTTTTTTACAGGAAGAGCTAAGTGTTTGGGTCTTCATTGATGTGTCAGCCGACAGCACAGTGTTGGGTTTTTCTTGTACCTGTATCTGCATTCAGCATCCTTTTCACTCCACTCCTTTAGCACATTATTCCAGGTACGTGTCTATTCTACCTGCCAACCCAGTTATAACCTCTCCAAGGAGCAAATTTTATTCATCCTTTTATTCTTAGCATCAAAGATACTTCCCAATTTATAAGGTAATTTATAAAAGAACTTTTAGGAGCAAATGAGTTAGTTTAGAGGTAAGGCTGTTTCTACTGAGAATTCTGTTCACCCCACAATGTAGAGTAAGAAGATGGTGCCTCCTATACAAGGTCAGAGACCCACAAACGAAGGTGCGTTTACACTTGCTTTGTCTGGCCCAGGCTGAAGTCCTACAATGAGGAGAAATGTTCCCTCCCAGGGGGTGGTGTCATTTGAGGATGTGGCTGTGAGCTTCACCCGGGAGGAGTGGCAGGACCTGAATGTTGCTCAGAGGACCCTGTACCGGGATGTGATGCTGGAGACCTACAGTCACCTGGTGTCAGTAGGTGAGGAAACTCCAATGCAACACTTGAGTTTAAGCGCGCTGTTTTCTACACTGATAAGTGTGCACTGGCTTATGAAATTGGGTGCTGGTGAGGTTGAACATGGCAAACATACTAGATGTGGGTGTTCCCTTTTTATGAAAAGTTCCGGTGGGCCTTCATTACACAGCTCTTAACCCTGCTTTCGTTAGTTTTTAAAACTGAAGTTTAACTTGATGAAAGACCAACACTGTTTCTCATCACAGGGCATTGTGTTACTGATCCTAAGGTGAGCATCAGGTTGGAGCAGGGAGTACAGCCATGGACTTTGGAGAAACCCCCAAACCAGGACCTCTCAGGTCAGTCAGTGCTTGCCGGGCCGGAAGTCTGGCAGAAGGCTGGGAGTGTGGCCAGTGATATTGGCCACACTGATTTACTTTTCCGGTGTTCAAACTTTGGGCAGTTTGTCTGCATTCATTAAAGTGATTCTTCATTCAGTTTCCAAATATTGCTGTCTCCTAGATTTCCTTCTGCTCTTTTCATGGTTGTCTATATCTTAAACCAGTATGCAGTCCCTGATACTGTGGAAAATTATTCTGCATTAGTCACATTTTCTGTGTTCTCTTTATTAATTGTTCTCACAGACTGTTCTCTTTGATGTATTTGTTCAGGCGTTCATTCATTCTTTTAGCATGTTCATGGGAAGTTTTTGCTAGTGGTAAATTTTCTATGAGTGCGGATAGTGACAGTAACCACAGAAATGGCCTTTCCTTTGTTAAAGTTATATTCTGTGAGAAAGGATAATATAACAAATACATATATTAGACAGATAAAGCATGGAGAATGATTAACCAGGATGAAAGAGAAAAAGTGGAGGATGTGATTTTTAGAGTATATGCTCCAAAGGCATCATTAGGGAGATGAAGTCTTTGTAGCGCTCAGGTGAGATACATGGCTTTTAACTGACATGTCATGTATGTAGTTCTCTGTGCAGTCTGAGCTGGAGGTTGTGTGTGGCACCTGGAGATGTCATTTACCAGGTAACTGACTCAAAACTCATAGAGGGGGGGTTTGATTGGAGAGTTATTTAGAACGTGAGTAGTTTTTCAGAGACAAGCCTTCTGACTGCCCACATGCGACACTGATATTGTGAGGCTGAGGCGGACCCAGAAATTGTTCAGCATGTTCTGTGACATGGGAGTGGAAACATGAGGTTGTGGTTTCTGAAGCCATGGAACCAAGTGTTTCAAGTTGGGGGCTCATACCCTGGGAGAGGAGTTTGAACTGTGCAATTCCACCTTTTCGTTGGAATCATTGGGAAGAAAACAACAGAATCAATGATAGTGTGATATAGCCAAAGCTAACATAGTAGATAAAAACTTGAGCTGCTATGAATGCAGTGGAAACACAGGTACCATCGAGTGCAGCGAGAATACCAGGGTGTTGATCTCAAATGTGGGAAAAGCCTTTAAGGATGATGGCCACAGGTTGGATTGCAGAACTTTTGTCCTTTCCATCAGCAGGGAAAGTTGGACACAATGATGAGGTGGAGTTTGCTGCATTTATCAGGATTCTGAGCAGCATATGCTATAATATTCAAATAAGCATTGACAGAGAGGTCTCTTCCTGCCGTGGAGGGAAGTACTTGTCTCTGAGAACCTCTGCAGGTGACTGTAGCCAGTGCTGAAGGAGAAATAAAATCTAAGGAAATGTACATGCAGAATCCTTGTGTCTAAGCTGTGCTCTTTAAAAGTGCCTGGAAAATGACCCTGTGTCACTTTCAGTCAATAGGAAAACCATGACTTCTGCAGAGCTTGATTATTCAAAACATACCAGCAGAAGTAGCACAAGGTCATCCTACAAAAGAAAGAATATAGACTCTATGTTAGGTTAAATGCTCCTGGTTGAAATCGACATCTACAGTTAAATGAATATTTTTACCAAATATTTATGATTTTATAAAAACACTGTGAGGTAAGTTTTTCAGCTTCCTTGTCAACCTGATTTGACATTAGAAAAATCAGTTAATTGGGGCCTTCCTCGAGGCCTAGAGGGGTTAAGTCTCTGTGCTCTCACGGCTATCGCCTGAGTTTGGTCCACGGGCAGGGGCTTACCCTACATGGTGCAGCAAACCTCTTCTGTCTCCCCGCAGCTCCCCTCAGCAGTGTGTTTCACTCAGTCTGCCTCTTCTGCTCCCCATTCTGTTTGGTTATCCTCTGAATTTCCCCCCCAGCCCCCCATGCACCTCTGGTCTATACCCCGTCTCTTTTATGCCAAAGTAAAAGTAAAAGAAAATCTGTTTAATTTTTCCTGTAATTGTTTAGGGGTGAAAAGCATGAATCAGAAAAATTCAATACCTGTGAAATTCTGTTGTAGTGTAGAAACTTTTGTGCTTTTTAGTAGCAGTTACTAGAAACATTTAGAGTTATTTATACAAATGATCATTTTTATCTCTTTTTAGATGTTTGTACTGTGGATTACCTCACTAAAACCAACCCTCCAAATCAGGGAAGACATTTGTGGCAAGCTTTTACTGCCAACAACAAAATATCAACCAACAAGAGAACTGACTTAGGGGAAAAAAGTAATTTGGACTCAATTTATCATTTGAACTGGGATATCAAAAAGGGAAACATTTCAGCAATGATGCCCGAGAACCCTACTATATATAGGACAATGTTTACTCCTGGTGGGCCTCATGAAGAGCATGCTGGAGAGAATGAGGAGGTCTTTCATAGAATTAGGGACTCCATCAGGTATCCTGAGCACCTTAGTCATCAGGTGATTCAAAATTTTCTACAGCCTTTTGAATTTTGTGAGCAAGGGAACGCCTTGAACAAAGACACAATATTTAGAAAGGGAGGAAGAAAATCAGCCCTCACACACCATCACCAAATACATGCTAGAGAGAAACTCTACAAATACCAAGAGTGTAGAAAAATGTTTTCCTGGAAATCAGTCGTCTTTTTACATCAGGGAAATCACACTGGAGGGAAACCTTATAAATGTCAAGAATGTGGGAAAACTTTTTCCAGTAAGTCCATCCTCATCATACATAAGAGAAGTCACACTGAAAAGAAACTCTATGAATGTGAAGAGTGTGGGAAAGATTTCTCCCGGAAGTCAGATCTTGTTGTACATCAGAGGACTCACACTGGAGAGAAACCTTATGAATGTGAAGAGTGTGGGAAGGCATTTTCCAGTAAGCCCGCCTTCAACATACATCAGAGAATACACACTGGAAAGGAACCCTATAAATGTCAAGAGTGTGGGAAAACTTGTTCCAGTAATTCCACCCTCTCTAAACATCAGAGATGTCATACTGGAGAGAAACCCTATGAATGTCAAGAGTGTAGGAAAGTGTTCTCCCAGAAGTCAGGTCTTGTTGTACATCAGAGGACTCACACGGGAGAGAAACCTTATGAATGTAAAGAGTGTGGGAAAGCATTTTCCAGTAAGCCCGCCTTCAATGTACATCAGAGAAGACACACTGGAGAGAAACCCTATAAATGTCAAGAATGTGGGAAAACTTTTTGCAGTAATTCAGACATCAGTAGACATCAGAGAAGTCACACTGGCGTGAAACCTTACGAATGTCAAGAGTGTGGGAAAGCATTTTCCAGTAAGCGCGCCTTCATTGTACATCAGAAAAGACACACCGGAGAGGCCCTATGAATGTCAAGAGTGTGGGAAAACTTTTTCTGGTAAATCACACCTGAAGAGGCATGGCAAAATCCACACTGGAGAGAAATGTTATGAATGTGAAGAGTGTGGGAAGGCTTTCTACGACAGGTCAGGCCTCTATGAACATCAAGTGACTCACACTCGAGAAAAACGGTATGAATGTCAAGAGTGTAAGAAGGGTTTCCACCACAGGTCAGGCCTCTCTAGTCATCGAAAGATCCACAGAGGAGTGAAGCCCTATGAATGTCAAGAGTGTAGGAAAGTGTTCTTCTACAAGTCATATCTTGTTGTACATAAGAGGATTCACACTGGAGAGAAACCCTATGAATGTCAAGAGTGTGGGAAAACTTTTTCCAGTAATTCTGCCCGCTCTAGACATCAGAGACGTCATACTGGAGAGAAACCCTATGAATGTTAACTATAGAAAAACTTTCTCTTCCAAATCAGCTATCAGTAAACATCAGAGAAATCATACTGTAGACAAACCTTTTGAATGTGAATAGTGTGGGAGAACGTTCTCCAATAAGTCTGCCCTCAGTAACTATCACAGAAGGCACACTGTTGACAAACTGTATGAATGATAACACTGGTAAATCTTTCTCCTGGGTATCAGGCCTCTATATGCATTCTAGACGTTAGAATTTACAAAACCTCTATAGGAAACCTTACTCCTATAAATCAGGTGTCACTTGACAGCAGAGAATTCTCACAAGAGAATAACCCCATGGATGTCAAGAATGTAGGAGAACTATTGTGTTGTCGAGAAAGTCATGTCCTAATTTTTTTGGTGTGTCCAAAAATGCATCTCTCAGAATTCAATTGAATGTAGATCAAAGAATTCATACAGGAGAACTTCTTATTAATGTGTGCAGTGTAGGGAGATGCTCCTGGAGGTTAGCCCTTGGTCTGCCTCTACAGATAACTCACAGATGACCTGTGTATATGTGGGTATCCTGAATGTAATAAAGCTTTTTACTTCAAACCAAATGTCACTGTGTAGCAGAGAACTCAAAGGAGAATAACCCTGTGACTGTCAATATTGTAGGGTGGTTTTTTGCCAGAAGGAGCTCACACTGCATGCGGGTATCATACATGAGAGAAACCCTATGGGGGAATGTGTGTAGGGAAATTATATGGAAGTCAATCTTAAGTAATAATATAAATTTTACAGAGCAAGGTGACACTGTGGTAGAAATGGCACATATCTGCACAGCATTTTAATTCTGTTGGGGGCAGACCTTATCCTATAACTGAACTCAGCTCAGGAGTATGTCAACACAGACAAGGAACTTTATTTCTCTTTGAATATTATTTCTATTATAAAATGTTTAAAATATTCAAACCTGGGTCCTCCCCAGTGGCAGAGCAGGTTGAGCACCGCGCTGTGAAGCTGTCCACAGCTCCTGCAGCACGGGTTCTATTCCTGGCTGCCAGGGAGTAACCCACACAGCACAGCAGACCTCTCCTGCCTTGACCACTGCTCCCCTTAGCAGTATCTTTGGTCCATCTACCTATTCTGCTCCCCGCTCTGTCTGTGGAGAATTCTCTCACCCTCCCACACCTCTCACCTGTATCTCAGTTTTTGTATAAATAAATAAATCTTTTTAAAAAAATCATGAAAAAAAGAAAACAAAAATGTTCAAACCTAAGAACACAGACTACATCATTCAGTTGAGAGTCATGTGAGCAAACATGCGGTTTAAATCACAGTTGCCTGAAATTACTGATTCATTCTTTTCTCCAAGTTCATGCAGTGATTATGTAGCTGTTCCTGTTGCTGTCGCTTCTAGTGTCCACTTAGTTCCTGGCTGATGCTGTTCATGTCCACGGTAGCCATCCTGTCTATACGGTACATTGCATTTTGCATTGGTAAGTGATCTCTCTGGGTTCTTCTAAGTTTGTCATCATGTTCTGTCCTGTACTCTAAGCCTGTGTGGTGCCATGGGACTTAGACAAGGTGCCACCAGAAATGCTGGAATTGCTCAACACCAAAATGTCATTCCAGTAGAAGTTGAGCTGTTAGATATTCACTATAGATTGAGGTCTACAGCTGTCCTTTAGCTGTAGCCACCTTTCAAGTTAAAGTTTTCATGGGGCCTCCTTGGTGGCCTAGTGGTTCTGTCTGAGTGCTATCACCACTGGCTGGAGTTTGATCCCCAGCCAGGGAGCTGACCCACAGATGGCCGCATTAGACCTCGTCTCGCCTGCTGCTCCCCTCAGCAGTGTATTTCAGTGGATCCGCCTGTTCTGTTTCCCACTCTTTGTCTGGTGAGCCCTCTCACACCCTGTACCTCTGGCCTACACCCCAGTTATACAAAATAAATGTATTTTTAAAATAAAGGATTCTTTCTTAAAATTTTCTTACTGAATTGTTCATTTTTGTGCAGTATTTATTTGCTTTCCTCATGTACGGTCCCCATAAATGTTCCATCACCACCTCCCCTGTGAACAGTAACCATAGTCCCTTGTGCTTTTCACTCCCCTGTTTTGTCCCCCCCCACCACCTGTATGTCTCCCATCTATAATTTGCCTGCTAGTTTTGTCTTTATTTTTCCTGTGACCTTTTGTTCAGTTTCCCTATATTCCTCCTATAAATGAAACGATCCAATGTTTTTCTTTTTCCTCCTTTCTTCTTTCAGAACATAATCCCTTCCAACTCCATGTTTCTGCAAATGTCGTGATTTTATCTTTTGATTGCTGAGTAATATTCCATTGTGTATAGAGACCACATCTTTTTGATCCAGTCATCTATTTTGGGCATTTATGTTGTTTCCTTGTCTTAGCTGTTGTAAATTATGTTGCACTAAACATAGGAATCCAGGTTTCCTTTTGAATTCATGATTTTGTGTCCTTGGGATAGATTCCTAGGAGTGGAATTGCTGGGTCATATGGTCGCTCTATTTTTAGTAATTTGTGGAATTTCCATGCAGCTTTCCATGGTGTTCATTTAAGTGGTGACTGAAGCTAACTATTATAAGTGGTGCACCCTGGACGGCAGTGCTGGTGGGCATGGATAGCCCCATGGAAAATGGTAACAAAGAGTATCATTAGGGGGTGCAGACTCTGATAAGAAATGTGAAGGTCTGCAGAGGCAGCCCCCAGGATATTTGGTGTTTGGGATTTGGCGTTTTTGGATCTTAAGCGATTCTGGGGTCAAAAATTTCTGCCCCCGCCATGCCAGTCTTCCAGAAGGCTATTGTGAGCCTCTGAGGAACGTGGAGAGGCTTCCAGCGGCCAGCCTCAGAGAGGGAAAGTTTGGAGGCTTTCAGTGACTGAGTGACTGAAACTGTTCCCAGCTTTTGCTAAAGTTACTAGCTGGTTGAGATGGTGAAGACCTGGAGTGGGTGCCTCTATGACCTGTGTGAGTATGGCCATTTTGTCGGGGCTTTTGGCTGCTGCAGCTGCTGTTTTGAGTGTCGCTTCTCTGGTGCATTGCTGGGGTGTTGGCAGCAGCTGCCTTCCAGGGAGCCAGAGTTCTCTGGGAGTACCTGTTTACTCTGCATATGGAGTTCCAGGATGTTAGAAGTTCTGCAAACAGAACTACTTTCCAGAATTGACTGCTGTTCTCTGAGGACGTACTGGCTTGTGTGCATGATCCCTACTAAGAAGATAAGCTTGATCCAGCAGTAACTTACTAATCTGTATTATCGTAAACACAATTGCATGCTATTTTTTGCTTCTTTGTTCATATCTTTAATAAAAGCTTGAGCCTGGAGGGTGAAAGGCAGAGCTGCTCTCGATGGCTCTCCCTAGCCTACCCCCACTGCAGATTCATTTAGACTCCAAGTCCTGTTAAGGGCAGAGAACTTGATTGGCTGTCTGGCTGTCCGCAGCACTGGGGCATCATGGCAGCTCAGGGGATCATTTCCTGCTGTGTCTTCTGTTGTCTTTATGAGTTGGAACCGGGCATGTAGTCTGGCTGCCGTGTGCTCAGGTCCACAGTGGCAAGAAGATGCCATTTTGGGACTGTGGCCTATTGTTCAGGAGAGGAGCTCCGTGTCCTCAGTGGTGGGCGATGTCATTTTTGGAGTGTTTGTGTTTAGGACTTTTAAAAACACTTGGACACTACTTTGGGTAAGGTGAGTGGCCATTTTTGGCCTCAGTAACTCTGTTTTTCCTGGTTTGTTAAAGTAAATCCCATTGTTATTCTCTGAACTTGAGTAGTCTTGCAATTGTGTGCCTGGGTGAAGAACTCAAGACTGATGAACTATTTGGGCAGTGCCTTCATCAGTTTAGTGTCCCTTGCTGCCCTGTGTCAGCTGAACCAGGTTGCATTCCCACCAGCAGTGTAAGAGGCTCCTTTTTCTTCACATTTTCACCAGCATTTGTTGTTGCCAGTTTTTTTTTTTTTTTAAACTGGTGTGAGGTGTTGTCTCATTGTGGTTTTGATTTGCATTTTCCTGCTTATAAGTGATGTTGAGCATTTTTTCATATACCAGTTAACCATTTGCATTTCCCTTTGAGAAATGCCTTTTCAGTTCTCCTTACATTTTTTTTTTAAACTGGGTTGCTTGTTTTTGTTGAGTTTTGTGAGTTCTTTGTAGATCTTTGAAATCAGTCCCTTATCAGTTGTATGGAGTGCAAATATCCACTCCCAACAAGTTGGGTGTCTCTTTGCTTTTGATACCGGAATTGTCAGGCCTAGTCTCCCAGCCAGGAACAGATCCCAGGCTGCAGGGGCAGCGCTGAGCCCCAGCCACTAGACCACCACGGGTTGGTGTCTCACGAAGCTGCAGCAGGAACTTTGCAGACTTAGGCAAGTAAGCGAGAAGAGACAGGTTTGTTTAGAGAAAGAAAAAGTTTATTGAGGAGAAAAGGAACAGAAATAAAGTGGGACTCCCAGGCCATGAAACCAGGCCTGGGAGGGGCAAGTTAGCCAAAGTGGAGTCGTGTCTCAGGGAATATATACCTTCTTTCCCTAATTATTCTAAAGCTCCACCAGTCTCTTTGTGATTGGTTAGTTCTGTGCTGTTTCACTTAATTTGCTACTGAGTGGGGGATGTTCACATTCCTTATCTAGCAGGTCTGTCTTTCCCCATTTGTTGCATCTTTATCTTTATGGCCCAGTCCTCTGGGTGAGCATCCCTGCATTGAAGTTAAACAGCTGCCCTTTTAAGTTGTCCATAAATTAAACCACTCTGCATTTCCCCAATCTCTACCTCCCTTTATCACCTGAAGGAAACCAAGGCCAGCATTAACAATGTTGTCCTTGGTCCTGGGAGGTTTGTTTTTCCAGGTGGAATTAGTTACATTCCTCTTGCTGCCCTTATTTCTGAAGCCTTCCTTAGTTCTCCGAGGTCCCCTTCTGCAGTGTCCCTAAAACTGCCTAATTCCTAGATTGCTCTGTGTCTCACTTTGTGATTGTATCTTTTGCTGTATAGAAGGTTTTCAGTTTGATGTTGTCCCAGCTGTATTATCTTTTCCTTCATTTTGCTTGCATGTGATATGAGTCCTCACAGAGTTTCTGAGGTGACTGTTAGGATTTTTTTTGCCTGTTTTTCCCTTTATGTTTTATGGTTTCAGGTATTGAAGTCTTTTATCCATTTTGAGTTGATTTTTGTATGTGGTGTGTGAGGTAGTATTCTAGTTTCATTCTTTTGCATGTAGTGGTCCAGTTTTCCCAGCACCATTTCCTGAAGAGACTCCTTGTTCCATTGCATATTCTTAGCTCTAAAGGATTCTTGCTTAGGAACTAACATAAAAAAATATATTGTGAATCCGCGGCTGTCACTATGACAGGAGGTGCAAAAACCCTTGCACTTCCTGCAAAATGAAATGTTTTGTCCACATGAGAGAATGATTGATGTGGTTCCAACATATGGTTCTGCCGGTAAATAGCCCAGGTGGGTTTATGGGGCTGATAAATACAACATATTGTTGTCAGCCTGTTTTCCTCATCACTTTACTGACATTTCATTTTCCCTAACTTCTCTAAGACACAGTGTATTATGCAGGTGTCCTACAAGAGAGCAGTTAATCCACTGATTTTTAAGGTAACCATTTGTAGTCAGAAGATACAAGTGGATTTATTAACTGCTTGGGCCAGGGGGTCAGTGCCACCAACGCCCACACTGCCCCAGGCTTCACTGCAGTGACTTCAGTCTTTCTGCCAGGAAAATCATGTCAGTGGAACTATTTCTAAACCTTTTCTATGAGGTAGATTTACATCCTTTAAGAAACAGATTTTGATCCTTTATAAACCACTGCATTAAATTTAAACCACACCTGCATTTTGGAATAGAACCACTTCCCCAAGCCTCATCACACTTGAAAACCTTGTATATCAACTTGTGAGGATTTGTGAGCCTTTTGAGAGTGGCAGAGGGTCTGTGGCGAGTAAAATTGTGCTTCGGATGTATTCTGAGGCTACACGTTACTGGTTGTGTCTTGAATGTGATCTTTGTCTGACTCAGTTCATACTTTGGGTTTAGGGACTGGTGTGGAAGGTGGTGTCAGACGGACTCCCTGAGGACACTCTCACCCCTCCTTCTCAGGGGCAACCGGCGCCTTCTGGTGTGTTTCTTGCCACTGGTGGTGATTGATGAACAGAGGTTTTTGGTAGCAGGCCCAGAGCCGGAGGCCCTCAGATGTGCTCTTCCTCATTTCTTGTCTTTGGTGTGAAAGCACTTCACAGTGGAGACCAGAGTTACAGAAAAGCAAGAGATTTATTCACAGGAATAAGGGACAAGAAAGCTCTGAGCAGAGGGGCCCTGAGTGGGTGGCTAGTGAGGGGGCGAGAAGCAGGGGCTCACCTGGGTAGTGTGGGCAAGGAGTGGGGTTTGGTCATGGATGTCTCTGCCGTGTGCCTCTTGCTGAATGGCTTGGCCTGTGGGGCTACTGATGCCCACTGAGTTTGCCCACATCACTGGCATGGCATTTTCACAACGAGCCTCGGTCTGTGGATTTAGAGTTGTGTCCTGTGTTGGTTCCTCAGCGTTCCTCTCTGGGCTGGGCTGGGGGCACCGTTCCGTCGGGGACTGTTTCTCTGTCCGGCTGATAATGGATTTGGAACTTGGGCACCTGCTCCTGACTGCCTGCCTCTGCCCACTTCCCAACTTCCTTGTCAAGAACATCTTCCCGGCCAGAGTCCCCATCCTGAGTTTCCTCAGCAGAGAGGCAGGAGCCCTTTCTCTGGGCTCCTGAGGCTCCCCTCTGAGTCCAGTCCTGCGGGGCTTCCTCCTTGGGTGCCGTCCTTGGCTCTTGTGCCAGGAGACACCCCCGCCATGCTGCCTCCCCAAGGCTGCGATTTCCTAAGTGTCCTTAAAGCCCCATTAAAGATCGCCTCTGGTGCCTCCCATCAGCCCTCACCTCAGACCTGGTCCAAAGAGGGTTGTAGGATTTGCTGAGACAACACTCCTCTGCTAGTACCAGGTTTCCTTGAAGCGTCTGTTGCTGTGAGGTGAACCATGTGAGCTGTTTGCAACAAGGCTCACTCTCCATGGTGAGGGTGAGGGGTTCAGGAGGCACTCGTCTTGCGTCCCCTTGCAGGGGTATTGGGGCATCCAGGGGTGTGGAGGGTGAGGCCTCACTCTGGATGGGTGGGCAATCCAGGTGGGTGGTGTTGATGCTGTCAGCAGAGGCTTGGGAGAGGCCTCCACTCACTCCAGGGGGACCTTGCCCGGCTGAGCCGGGGCCCAGGATCATGAAGCGCAGGAGCTCAGGGTCGTAGGCTGATCAGAGCAGCCCAGAGATACTGTCCACACTGCAGTGGTAAGGACGCTACAGGGCAGTGTGGGGGGCAGTTGTGCTATCACTGGGAGATCGGTCTGCTCTCCTGCCCCCTCTCAAATAGCAGAATATGACAGACAAGAGCAAAGCCACCAAACTGTACAGGGTCTGAGTGTGAAGTGCTGTCATGGGAGGAAGAAGCGGTCACACGTGGGGTCTCTGGCCGCCTGGGAGGGCTGAGCTGGAGCCTCTGCCTCCTGAGAGCTGCTCCCCTTCCAGATTGACACCCCGCTGTGTGTTCCCTGGGGTCCGTGCGCCTGGGCCTCCTGCAGGACTGTCGTGAGACCAGGGATGTGGCTTTGCATGTCAGGTGTGCATAGAATCGCAGAGGAACCTCCTGGCCCATGGCCAGGGCTCAGGCCGCATGTCAGAACCTCTTCAATGAGGGCTTAGGTGTTGGCTCTACGGCTGTGGGAGTTGCTGGGTGGAGGACAGCGCAGCAGACACGGGGAGACTGATGGTTGGACCCGCGGTTGGCTACGCCCAATGACAGGACTGATGGGCCCTGCGTGGGTCGACTGTCCAGGATCCCGAGGGAAGGAAGAGGAGGCGGATTCACCTGACTTGATGCTCTGAACTCAATGATTATGCCAGTGTTGGTGACGGAGGAAGTTGGTGGGGGATGTAGGCTTGGGGCCACCAGGGCCTCAGCCTTGAGATGATACCCTGAAAACAGGCAATTCCATGGGGTGACCCCAGAGCAACCCCTGTTCAACGTCATTTAACCCAGAGATCCTCCAACTATGTCTTTTCTCTAAAGAAAGTGTGTCCCGGCCCCACCACCTCTCTGCTCAGTCTCTACTGCTGACACCCCTCAGACCCAGGGATCCCGGAGGTATATTGCATTGAGCAACACCACACTGACAAAAACACGGGAGTCATGGAGCAGGCTGCTGAGAGCAAGATCCTGGCCGTTTTTATTGATAGAACAATCATACAGCATCAGCTACGTGCGTTAGGAGGACAAGGAGAAAAGGATGGGTGAAACTCAGGAATGTCATCTAGGGCTTGGGGGACATGCGTCTACTGACCATGTTAGCCTGATGACCAAGTGTTGTAATCAAAACTGGACCCCAGACCCCCCCAGCCATGGTCCTAATCTTATCAACAAGGCATTCCATTGATCAACTTCTGGGGTCCCTTGTCATACATCAGTCCTTGCCCCACCCTGGGCATTCCCGGTCATACCTCTTGATTCATACCCTTCTCAGAGTGATCCAGCTTTCTGCTCTTGATTGATATGAAAGGTACCTTGTAAGGTTTGGCTCATATGACTGTGACTGGACAGTTCTGACCTTTGTATAGGAATGTAGAACTGCAGTAACCATAATGGTGGCTGAACAGGCCATTTAATTCTAGCGGATTAAGTCTAGCAGACCCACGAAGGTACATGTGGAAATGCTGGTTTCAGCCCATCCCATTTCCTCCCTGTTGGTCCCTCCTGGAGGCTGGAGGAAGGCCAGGGGCTGGGCACTAGGGATATGGGGTGTTGGGGGTGATGTGGGCCAGGAGGAGGGGCTGGGGGGGTGCAGGTGGGGAGCTGAGATGGTGAGGGAGTGGGTGAGCAAGGCCAAGGCCAGGAGGGTGGACTAATGTTCTGGGGG